ATCCACCCAGTCATCGATTCATCCTGGATAACGACTGCAGTACACTACATCTCGACGCCGTGCAGTTTCTTTGAAGACGCTCGGGCGTCTCGTATAATTAAGTTCGCGTGTACCTACGACATACGTACATAACATATGTACAGATGTCGTACGTCCATTCGACGCTCTTGAACGATGTACCAGGAGGCAGACAATTTCTGCTCGGTAATTAGATATCACGTTAAATTAGAATACGATAAAGAAAGAGCGACGTCAGGGTATAGCCAAAAAGACCAAAGAAAGGCCTCAAGAATCATGAGGACAAAAAAAGCGAAAAGTAAAAAAAAATAGATACACCCAAAGACAGTTTAACGACACGCGTAAAGTGTTTTATCGTCCACAGCGTGCAAAGGAACGTACATACGTTATCCGAGAAAACTTATTATCCATAAATCATCAATCCGATTCTCCGTTACTATGTTTCGCGCTCCAAGTACATCCAAGTACGTATGTGCAACACGTACTAGGTATCCGTGGGTGTTTTCATTACAGTGAGATTCACCTTTACGTCGTGTTTCGCGTACGCAGCATACCGCGGCTAAAACTGTCACAGGGTGTCTTTACTCTGGTGCGCCGCGTGCTGCTGTACCGGCGCTGTGCTTTACTGGGCTGAAGACGTAGAGAAAGCGGTGCGTGGAGAAGCTCTTAATTTACCGCACTTCTGGCGCATAAGATCGTACCAAGAGGTGAGGCGAGGAGAGGAGAACGGCCGGAGCAGAGTGGGAAGTAGCGAGAGAACGAGGAGGATGAAGAGGAGTGTCGTGAAGTGTCGTGATGGTGCTCTGGTGCAGAAAGAGCCAAAGGAGAATAAGAGCGAGAGAGAGAGAGAGCAAGTATATAAGGGTGAGACAGGGTGGAGACAGAGGCACATAACAATTAGGTCGTGTTGTCTTGAATTCTAAGCAGGCTAGTGAACTGATCCTGACTAGCGGTTGGGATAAATGTGGCCTTAAACGACACCGATATAGCCAGCTAGGCTGATCGCTTGCCAAAGACTTCTCTTCTTTGTTCCCTTTTCTTTCCTCTCTTTCTTCATCCTCGTATCTCTCTCTCTCTCTATCGCCATTTCACTCGTGTTACTTCTCTTTGTCTTTCTCGCACAACCTCTCACGGTTTCGGCATCCTACCGCTACTTCCATTCTACTATACCCAACATCCCCTTACGGGTCTCTTCTGTGCTCCCTGTATACACCAAACGTGGTCGGATGCTCTCGTGGTCTGCACTGGCACCACCGCCGCCACCACCACCACCACCATCATCAACATGGAGGCTTTTAACTCTTCAGGACGGCCGAACAATTGTTACTGGCCTTGTTAGCCTTGTCGAGCTAATGGCACACTTTATTACTTTACTCGCGCCAACGCCAACTAGGCTTACCGAATCGCGGTCTGTATGTATGTCTATATACATACGTGTATATCTAGCTAGTTAAAGAGAACTACTGTGAACTATGTATTCCGATAACGCAATACGATTTTATAGTCACCTTTGAGCTTGTCGTGTGCCAGTGCACGCTGAAAGTGTTCCTCAACTTCCGTCGCGGCGTCCCCGCGGTAATGCGTGAAGACCACGCAATTCGCATTCACATATTGCGCCCTACTCTCACCATCATCGGAGTCTTCAGCACCGGTACCAGCACCTACGGCTAGGACAGTTAATATTTTTAGGTTAGGTTCAGTTAACTCAGGATCTATTGAATCTACAGTATTTTATTCATTCAGACGATTTTTATATCTCTTTAATCACTGATTCGGTTATATCGATCTGATTGGATTCAGTCTATTGAGTAAATTAGAGGAGACACTTACCGTCCGTTGAACGATCATCATCTAACGTTCTCGAGGGTTGCGATGTAGTCGTGGCTAAGGGTGCTCTTGGTTGAGGAGTTGGTCTTGGGGATGCTGGACTCGGCGCTGATCCCACCGAGCCTGCACTGCTCGGCTGTCCTTGTGGTACACTTCCGCCGGCGGCGCAGAGTTCCAGCCCCGCTGCTTCCAACGACCGTTGATGTACGTTCAACTGTAATGAAGTAGGGCAATTAAGAGTCGCGCACGTACCGCGAGTCTACGTATGCAAAAATATATCGAGTGACTCGTGCGAACGCTTGGAACGCTACCGGTGAAAAATAGAGCAGATCGTAATGTCTTGAGCGAAGTGTCGCGCGACGCGGCGCGGGATTCGATCGAGCAAGAATTCCGGGTCGAGAGAAAGGTGAGGAAAGTTGTCGCAGTGAGAGAAATGAAGGGAGAAAATAAGAGGTGAATAAGACACGGGAAAGATTAAATTTAGAAATGGCCGCCCAGTACAAAAATTACCCGAGTGAACATTCACGAACAATTATTGTCGCTGGTACGAGGTTGTAATTTTTTTTTTACAAAAATCCTTCCTATCTTGTAATATCCATAAATCGTAAGCCCAATGGGTTGCTACTCACTGTTTTTGTCCAACTGGAATGGATCGTTAATGGCGCAATGGCCGAATTTCTGGCATTCGAACTATTCCTTTGCCCGAAAGACACGTCGCTCTGTGATTACTTGGTGTCGTTGAGAATCGCGAGTAATCCGATGTCGGCGCAATGTGCGATTGAACGATCCGCAAGTATCCTGACTGTAAGACTACGCTCAGAAGTGCTTTGACAGGTATCACTGACATTTAATAGCGGCTCGTTGACAGGAGCTTATGGCATCCGCCTTGGCAGAATGCAAGAGAATCTCATACCACGGCAGAAGCTCACTCTGATATCTGTAGACTCTAGAGTCAGGAATGGCTGAAGGTGTTAGGCTACGAGTCAGCGAGTAAGATATACTGGTGTTGGAAACAGCCTCCATTGAGCACATAGCGACGCCAGGCGTCGGCGTCCATTGTGTCCCTCTCAGTAGAGACTGCAAATAGCGCGAGAGCTATGCTATGCGCACAAACATCGTCACGGGTACCACGAGCTACTAAGATTCTGTGTAGAGAGAGAGAGAGAGAGAGAAAGAGACAGAGACAGCTAGAAAATAGACAAGGAGCAAGAGAGAAAGAGAGAGGTTATAGAGAGTATAGAGAGAGCGACCAAATAGATACGCGTAGTGCCCGCTATTCATTAGATCCGAGCGATGCGAATACCAGCGCAGGTCACGACATTCTATCTTGAATTCTTTCCCTTTCTTTTTACTCCATTTTCGAAAAATATTCGAAATAGGACAGAGGCCGCGAGGAAATTCCCAAGGAAAGCAGAAGGCCGCGCGATAACGTGGGTGGCGGTAGGTTCTCTCGGCCGCCGGAAGTATCCGAGATGAGTATTTCACCTGGTGCAACAGACAGGAGACTCCTGGCTACACTTAGCAGCCCCAACGACAAAAGGAAGCAGCGACGTTAAATGGGATCCTCTATCTAATCTGAAGCATAACACCTGCATCCATTGGACTGCATCCTTAAGACCCAATGAATATCCACTGTAACGTAGGTCTGCTGTACTATTTCCTTTGTCCAATAAAATATCCAGCACTCTGCCCTTTTGGCTTGTGTCTCGGATGTCACGTGAGAGACGAACATACGTTATCGAAATGCTACGTAATAGGTTGGTACTGTGCATAGCTATGGTACCGGACATAGCACGGACGGTAGCCATTGTCCATTCTGGCTAGGTATAAATCCTACGAGACAGTCTGTGGGCGTGTATGAGCGATAGCTTGAATTCACCAATCCCCGACGATCAGACTCGCCCTCGTGTCTGTTACACGTTTCCTGTCGTGTTGGTCGAGCTCATGACTCCGGAGCCCGTTGATGATGGTTGAAGGTGATGCTGACGATGGTGGCAGCAGCAATAGTCGGTATAGCCCCGGTAGCACCGATGGCAGTGGTAGAGACCTTTCGGCGTGTACTATATCGGCCACGTTATGGCCCGCCTAACCAATTACGTCCATACATCAACGGTCCCGCGTTGGAGCACAGAAATAAGTTGACGGTGATGTATGCTCGCACGAAGGGACGTTTGAGGTTATGTGCACGTGAATACGGGCGTAGCGTGGGGGTGTGGAGCAGAACCCGTGGAGTAGAACTCAAGAGAACGGGCTACGCCTCCGAGATGTTATCATTATCTGCTCTAATAAACCCGAAGCCAGCATTCCACGAGGTAGTACATCACCGCCAGCATCCTCAAAGCGATGCCAAACGACGTTTCTGCTCGTGGAAACGTAGAAGGCTTCGCCTTAAGAAGAGAGAGAACGCGAGACCAGCGAGGCAAGGATCGGGCTGCGACACTTTTCGAGAATTTATGGGAAGATTGCGTGCATTTGTCAGCAGTCACTCGTATACGATTCAATTTACTTCGATGATATCGTTTGTCTTATCGATTATCGACAATCAATCTAGTTTGCGTACAGCGAAGGATTAATCGCCGACACCGTGCAGATATATCACGGGATTTCTCGTTGTTCTCAGGTACGCGCCATAACCTATAAAACGCATTAAGGATAACCACTGTAAATCCTTGAGTGTACGACAATGTGGTAATTAATCGAGTTGATCTGAGCCCTCTTAGCGAAGTCTCTTACCACTATGAGAGCCCAATGGCTTTCTTTCCATGAGAGTGGTCCAGGCTCCTCAGCATCCACGTATTCGCAGTATCTCTAGGGACAGGGGGCAGCAGCAGCAACACCAGACGCAGTAGCAGCACGTTCAGCTAAATTTCTAAGAGTGTGTACCAACCTCGCGGTCTTTCAAAGCATTCCAAAGCGCGAGCTACCCTACTCCTTCCTTTATTCCTCTCGTCCTCCGATCTTCTCCCCACCTCTGCACCACCTCACGGTCCTTGGTATACAAGAGCTGGGTATAGGTACCAGCACAGCTTCGCATTTACCATCACCAGTATCACTCCTCTAGGTCTCTCACCAACGAGACCAGGAAGACTTCGTGTCTTTATTTCTTTCTCTTTTGTCTTATAGATCTCTGAATCTACGCGGACACCCCATATCTCCCCATGGAAGACTTCCCATCTCCACGCACGCAGCTCTACCACCATACAGATACCGATGACGGCCCCTGCCTGTGGAACCCCGTCCCCATTAAAATACTCTATGGCTTGATGATTCGCGATTCCCTCGCGCCCACGGGTCCACGATAAATCATCAAGATCCATCGATCTACGGGTATAGGAATCTTGTGGGAGATCGACGGTAGATCGCTAGATCCAAAGGAATAAAATACTACGTTACACAGCCGAGTTCACAAACACGTATGCAGGTTCGCATTCGGATCGTGTAATGTGTACGTGTCCGCAGAATGCATCCGTGGGACGGTGTGGGTCTCTCGTGTCTCATCGGGATGATCGACAAAGGCCGTCGGAAGCAAAAGGTAGAAATCGGTAACAAGCTACCACGCAACGGTGTATCTCGCAATTTGTTTGCCGGACACGAACCATTCGTCGGCAGGATACCTACTGTTTCTCTCTGTATCTCGCGTAATGCCTTTACTGCATCCTTAGTGCTGCGCGTTGGGGTATGCGTATGTACGGACGAGATCAGAGGACTCCGACACGCTGCCACAGCCTCCCAGTATATTGATAAGGACTCGCGAACAAGTTAGCATTGGTTAAGCTCAGTTCATTAGCGAGGGACTGAAGCGCATCCTGAGCCAGGTGTACGATGAAATGATGGTACGGATCGTACGATAATGTGGATAGAATGATTCTCTTGGTGGCTTCGACAAATTAGGGACACGTTCAATTAACGGGAAAGTATATCAATGATTTTTTATCTTACAGGTCAGTCTTAATGCTACATTTATTTTTAACATTTGATTTATGATTTATACCGCTTAGCCAAGGTTTTTCTCTTATTAATTGGTACAACGACTGGTAGCACTCCCGATTTTTGGTAGTCAAGTCAAATCGGTAAGTCAACCGGCTACGGGAGAGGATTTTAGGTGTAAGAAGCACGTAAAGCCAAGGGACCAGGAGAGAGTCAGTGTTGTGTGTTAGCCTTTAGTTTTTTTCGTGCGCCTGTTATTCCTTTTGCTCTTGTTTATTGGGGTGTTCGGCTTATCGGTACGCGCAGCATCAAAGGATGCGACCGCGGAGGACAAGGTCCCCGGTCCTGGTCATCTCGTATCCCTTCGTTTCTTCTTAGTGTCCCATAGCTCGAACGCGCGCACGCTCCTTCTCAATGTCTTACATTAGGAACTTCTTGGGAGGAGATTTGAGAATGAATTTTCGAGGTTTTTATTCTGCATCCAATAGATACTACGTATCTCTTCACTACCGTATACGATTATTGTAGAGTGGAATGTAAAAATTGTAACTTGGAAAAAAAAGGGTAAAAGTTGAATTTTCAGTATTGGTATATTGTACGTAGGGAGTGCAGTTGGAATTTGATGAAAATGGCTGAGATAAAAATGAGCGAAAGTTCGAGTAATCCAAACGATCATTTGCCGGTCGTCTTATACCGCTCGACTGAGTTAAAAAAACATACCCGAATATCTCAGATACGGCAATGACGGTCTTTAGTGTCCTTTATCAGCTCTGATCCGATACGCATGGGCTATAACTTGGTCTACCTACCGCAGCGCGATCCTACCTCGCTAATGTCTCTACGTGCTACCGATCTTTTTTGGGTTTCAACGTGTTTCTCAATTTATTCGATACCTATAACGCCGCGGGGCGGCTCGATAAACATACAAACGAACGAACTCAGGCATCGGTGAGAATCGGTGGGATCGTGTGGACACCGGGTCTGCTACTTGATCCATAAAGAAGTAGCAGGTCGGTAGTATCAAGGAATTCACCAACACCCAATGTCTAAATGTCCTTGTCACATTAGTGAGCAACAATGGCAATACCAAACACAATAATAATATGGATAAACTTATACGGAGTTAAATAAAATGACGTAAAAAAAAAAGCTCATGTATTTTAAGTTCAGATACTCGGTTAAGAATTTTTATTGTGATGTCTATTTAGGTAGACTAATTGACCCGAGGAAGTTACAAGCACAAAAAGCAAAAGGATAAAGGAACGAGTTAAGTGACGTATAAAGGCA